TGCATCTTAAAATTAATAGTTTGTCAGTTTAATTGGCAACATTTTCCTCTACAGTAAATTAAGATATTGTTATGTAGGGGTGAGATCAGTTGAAGAAGAAACAAGAAAGGTGACCATGGGTGACTGAAGAAGCAAACTTAATACAATGTTACTGACACACTTGAGGTTGAGCAGAATCCTGGTGGTACATAGCATTATTATCCTAACAGTGTTTTGCTTTATCCTCTAGGAGACACAGTAGGGTTTCTGTTAGACTTGAATGAAAAGCAAATGATCTTCTTTTTAAATGGCAACCGGCTGCCTCCTGAGAAGCAAGTCTTTTCATCTACTGTGTAAGTAGCTTTTCTCAGTCAAAGTTTGAATTGATTCATGGAATGTACTTTTCTCCAGGAAAAAACATCTTTGTCCCTTTATGTAGGCAATTATGATGGGACACTGATTTATTTCAAGTAATTGGGGACCCATTTGATCAGACCTAAAACTTTCCCAAAGTTTGATATAGGAAGACAAGGACAAGCTATTCTCTGGTTTATAAACCTGTGGAGGTTGGTAGACAGCACTCTTCCTTTCTGCTAGGGTTGACTAACTCATTCTACATTTAAAACACTGTGTGTAAACTTTGTTTTTTTATCAATTCTATTGACCTCCGTATTCATTTTTATTTGTAGATCTGGATTTTTTGCTGCAGCTAGTTTCATGTCATATCAACAATGTGAATTCAATTTTGGAGCAAAACCATTCAAATACCCACCATCTCTGAAATTTAGCACTTTTAATGACTATGCCTTCCTAACAGCTGAAGAAAAAATTATTTTACCAAGGTAAGGAATTACTCAGGCTATTTCCAGACTTACATCTCATGAAAGATTAAAACAATTTATAATAGACTTCAGCTTTTAACAAATAATTTTGAAAACTCAAGAAAAATGGATAACTTTCTAAGAAATATAAATCACTAAAGCAGATCCCAAAAGATATATATTCAAGACAGAGCAGTATAATGTTAAGATTGTCCCTGAAAAGCAGCAGATTTGGGTGCTTTCACAGGGAATCTCTACCAAGTAATAACCTTACTGTTATTTAAAATGTTACAGAACCCAGAAAGAAAGAGGAATGCTTCCAAATTCTACAACTAAATAACATTGGTATAAAAATCAGAAAAATATATCCTATGCATAACCAAGAAAACATTAACTAACTTCACTTGAATGTCAGTGTAAAATTTCTAAATATTAGGAAATCAAGTATATCTTTTAACATAGTTGGATTTATTAAAATAGACTTTTATAGGGTGTTAGCAATGATGCCAACTCTGTTCCACAACCATTAAGACAGTGAATGCCTTCTTGGCCAAAATTTCAAATTGCTTATTTAACAAAACTGTAATTGGCATTAATTATCTTATTAGATGAATCTAGTCTGTTCCTTAAGCTGGGAGAAATCTCCAGCTGCTTCCTGGTAATTACTTCAAGTTGAAGCTTGTTTTATGATGTGAGCCAAAG